AGACGCATATTTTCTTTTCTTAAATTTTTTTTGTTTTTGTTTTTTATCAAAATTCCACTTGTTACAGAAATGAACCCAACAGCGTTGTTTCAATGCTACAACAACCATTTGAAATAACAACGTGCCAAATTGGAGCGACCAAGGCATTCAGATATACATATTCGTTGATTATTTGGAGATATCTAATTAAAAAGACGCTCTTGATTTCTAAGCCGTCGAGTTAAACACACTATCAAGCCTTGCATTATTGGTCATGTCAGAAATTTTGTGTATATATATTTATAAAAGAAGCTCTTTGAATAGAGATTCATATATTGATACAAATGTTTTACCTACGGAATTGGAGAAGAAGCTTCATTTGCAGGTGATCTTGTTTGTCTTTTTTTTTTTCTTTCTAACATGATGTTTAATTTCAAGGTTGGTCGTTATTTACTAAGTTTATGAAGTATTATCATCGTCTATAGATTTATTAAATACTTTATTTCCATATTTTCAGAATGAATTCAGCATGCAGCAAAACATTTATGCAATTAACAGTTATGAGTAAAGTCTATAATTCAACCTGTGATGGACCGTTCAAAGATTCATGTGAGGGCAAAACCAAGTTTCTCCATCAATAAAATAAAAAAAGTTTCTCCATCAATACTTAAATGAAATTGCATTCTCTTCGATTAGAAGCCTTAGTTATTTCTCCTCTCTTTTTTGTCATAAGCTTTATTCATGACTGTTTTCATCGTTACTGTACTACTTTTTTCTGCACGGTAAATTAATCTGAGAGACTGAAAGCATAGAAGTTTTCTTGGGCGATAAAATTCAAAAACATAGTTTATTATATAGTCCTTTAAGTGCCTTTGAACGGTGGTGTTTTTGTTTGTATGGTCATAATAATAAATTCAAAGCCACCCACCTTTTATCCTTCCCAACTTTTTCGAGATAGGATAAGATTAGAGCATCACATCAGAAGATCAAGAGAGGTTCATGACACAGTTTTTGAGACAAAAGAGTTTAATACTGAAGAGACAGATCATCCCGACGAACTTGAAGAGACGATATCATCCCGAAATGGAGCATCCTGATTGGTTTAATTTTCGAACTAAAAAAAAAAAAACTAAAATAAAAAAAAAATATTATATTCTGGTGAACCCTTCCCTTAGAGGTTCACTGATGTACATGCTCTTAGATGACATAACTATTATATTGTAATTTAGGAAAAGGCGTAGGCCCCCTTTTTTTGTTTTTGGATTAATGATTGTTGTGGGGCTAAATAATTTAGTTTGTATCCAAAACAGAGGATAGTATGTGTCGAATTTGTGTACGTGAGTTTTGACTTTTCGATATTTCGGGTATCAAATTAAAAATTTCATTCAGATCTATTGAAATGAGAAATGTAGACGTTAGGGAAATTAAGTAGGAAATTATCAGCGTGTATTTGTACGCGGAGAACACTTCGAGCAATATTTACTGCTACAAAACAGATTCAGCAATGAGTAGAACAATATTTGATTATTCGCATTCATTTTTCCCTTTTTGGGGATTTGAATTCCGATGGATAAACTAAAAAGTATTACTAGAAATAGAGAAAATATTGTTTTGCCGAATTATGGAAAAAAAAATAAAGAAGAGAAAGGACGTGACGTGACCACCGTGTGTGGTTATCTCAAACAAAGTCTCGACTAGAAACCAAACATGGTTGTCACCGTATTACGCAAAAAAATTACATGACGTATTGGAACTTTTAATTTAGTGAAATTTTGGATATGTAATTTAGTGGTTTATAATAGTTGGGATATCTAATTTCCAACAATATTTAAGCTTATATATTGCATATAATTCAGAGCCGTGTCTGAGATTTCTCTAACTACAAGCGAGAAAAAGAAATTGGCCCCTTAAAACTCTTCTTAATGCAGCTTAACCCATAAATAATTGGTAAAAAAAAAATGACAGATATGCACTTGAGAAGAATTGAATCCAGGCAAATCTCTAACCAAACATGATTTCATCAATTCACAAACCACTTGGACTAACTCAAACTTTGGAAAATTGGCCCCAAAAAAATATTTAACTCTTACGGCCCTGAAGCACATGCTTCATTAGCCTGTGCTCAGGCACGGCTCTGTGCATATTATTGACAAAAAAATGATCTTACTTTATATAAAACTTAGCTTATTCGCACATAATGTCCTGACTCCGTACAACTATACTATAGCAACGAATTTTACTTGTGCCACATGAATATTTGCACACACTGAAAGAGAAAAAGAAGAGTTGAGCAACCAAAGTTACTTAGTGTGGATGAACACACAAGCCCACTAATCTGTATTATACATAACGAGAAGAAGAAGCATTAATCGCATACACATAGCCTTGCTGCCTTGGACTAGCTAGTCATGCATTAATATACTTAACTTATCTACCAAGCAACCTAGATCTTCTAGTCATCACACAGAATTTTACCTTAACATAACATAACATAGCAAACAAACAAGGTCCTAACATATGCCATTACCGACATTCTGGCCAAACCTTAAGAGTGGTGAGGGACTTACAGCCAACCCGCATGAGGTAACCCGACTTCTCTTGGTTGTACCTGGGCTAGTTAATTAGTTAATGGACGGTACGAGGCTAACATCCTTCCGCACATGGTCCAAACATAGAACTGAGCTAATGTACTTAGGTTCGCAACCTTAAACTCAAAGCTTGGGCAGGGCTTAATTACTATATCCTAAACATTTAAGTATTTAACATTATCCTATCATAACATCATTAGTAAACATCATGTATCATCATTATCTATCTTCCATTTTCATCTCAACCACTAATCCTAAACTAGGCGTACTAGCTAGATTACTGCAACGGTTAATTAGGGAATACGAAAGCTACAGTCTATATCTTAGCCTTTATCTGATTGAATTGTACTGGAAAGTCAAAGCTACGAGATGATCAGAACCAAACCATATTTCTCCACAAAACATGTGTAGCCATACACTATTTGATCTGATTAGATAGCTGATTTCAGAGTTTTGGTAGATAACTGATTCTGAATTTTCAGTCAAAGCTACGAGATAATCAGAACCAAACCACATTTCTCCACAAAACATGTGTAGCCATACACTATTTGATCTGATCAATGTACGAAAGGATAAGTTATATGCTTTGTATAGTCACTAGTTTCGTGGCAACATAGTAGATATTGAGTCCATTAGAGTCTTAAGATGGCGCCTTACTGAAAATTTGCGCCATATCTAGCAATCCTAGCTCATCGAGATTTAAGCTACTTCGGATACAATTGTTGTCAGAGTAATACATAGGAGTCTTGGACTGTATATCCCAATGACATCAATATTTCAAACCATCGAGTTCCATTTTTTTTGTCTCCCATTGAGATCCAACTACAGTAGAACCTCTATAAATTAATAATCGATAAATTAATAATCACTATAAATTAATAAATTTTGTTGGTCCTAAATCGGGCCAATGTAAAAATTCATCAAATTCGATAAGATAATAAGATAATAATTTTTTTTGAAACTTTTATATAAATATATGATTCCAACAAAAAACATAAATTAATAATTATATAAATTTATGCAAATATATGAAAATTTAATATTCTAAAATATGACTAATGTGTTTGTTTTTAGTTAAAGTTGAAATTTCATTAGTTCTCATCTCTCTAATTATTATATCAGTAGTTCTTATTGCTGTTTTACTATATACATTCAAATTTATGATGATTTTTTGATGTGATAATTGATTTTCTTACATGTAAATATTTTTAAATGTATTGTGGTGTTATCTTCAATTTTATCATCAATAATACTGATAGTAGGCATATTTTTTTATAAATTTTAAACTTATGAACATGTACATTTTTATATGGACAATCCAAGATGGTGAAAAACTATTTTATTGTGATAGTTATGATTTTTAATCATAATTTATATTATAAAATTTATTAAAATTTTAAAATATAACATTATTCCAAATAGATTTTTAGAAAATTATATGCGGAATTTATAGATAAATTAATATCACGATAAATTAATAAAATATTATGGTCCTAATATTATTAATTTATAGAGGTTTTACTGTATTAGACAAAAATGAAATATTAATTGGTTTACCATCACAAGCATTTGGTCTAAATGAAATTTAAGACTTTGTTAGCTCGGAGTTTAAAAAGATTGCACCAAATACACGAGCCAATAAATAGTATCACATGTTCGTTTCATACAATCTTCGTGAGCTAATTAAAGCAATTGTGGAAGTGGATGTGGATGTGGATTTTAGATACTGATCCGGTTAACGAAACTTCTAAAAAGTCTTGATCCGAGCTTCCATGGTGACTTCTTTTGGATGAGATTCAGGCCGTTTTTGATGCACATAAGAAATTTGAAGGGTGGTTGGGCTGATCCTGGTCTATGGGTGGTAAACTGGTAATCTGAGAATTACCTTTCTAATATTCTCTAAATACTAGATTATATTTATTTTATTAATCTGAGATTTTTAATATGTTTCTCAATATGATGAAATTAACTACTAAAAAAATTCCTTTCCTTACACAAATAAATATATGTGACAATTTCATTATTTTCTTCATAAAAGGAAAAAAACCTCTAAAAAGGCAAAAAACAAGAAAATACAAGAGAAAACATAAAAGCATAAACGAATATTCCAAGTTACAGAATGACAGAAACTGAGTTATCTCATTAAATAAAATAAAAAACATTTTCTTTTGATTATGAGTTTCTGTTTTTTATTTTATTCAAAATTTTATATCAGTGACGAGACGTAATTTTCTCTTACAGGCTACGGACCGGAGTATTCACCGTTGCCACGTGGCTAGATCTGAGAGCTTACGACTTACTAGTGTATCGTGGGCCACCGAGCATAGAGAAAGAACCGGGTCTTTAGGTGAATGTTTTACTGGCTATAGCCGGTAAGAACGGGACGGGTAATACCGGTAGGTCCGGTATGTGATGAGCTCTACACAAAGAGGGGTTTAAGCAAAGGCGTTTGTGGTTCTTTGAATTGAAGAAAGGGTTTTTGCATTTTCTTTTTCTTTACTTGAATTTGATTTGATTATCTTTTGTGGTGGTGAGAGAAAAATTAAAATCCTATGGGTAGCGTTTGAAACAAGTAAAATTTTTCCTTCACTTTCTTGGGGAAAAACATGGGTTAGAGGAAAGATTTTGGTTGAGTGTGTAAAGAATTCTGATTCCTTCTTTTTGCGTTTTGTGATTACTTTGTCTCCGATCTCGCATTTTCTGGAGATTTCGTTCGAAATTGTTGAACTTTTCTCTTTACTGTTTTGGAAACTGAAGATTCAGAAAAAGGTGAGAAATTTTTAAATATTTTCATGGTTTTGTCATCTCGATTTTGTCGAAAGTTTGTGTTTTTTGTTTGATCAACGAGAAACTTCGAGGACAGCGAGTTATTTCTTTGAATTTTGATCTGGAAGATTCCGAATTTCAGGTTCTCTGGTTCTAGATCGTAAAGGAGGTTTCTTTATCTTTTGAAACTTATCGTCATCTTCAATTGATTTTTGTCGTTTTGCTAACACTAACCAAAATTCTGGTTCATCGATCTGTAAACCCGATCTGAGAATTTGAAGTGTCTCTGTTTTGGAAAACGTAAATCTATTACCAATCGAAGCTTTTCTTCAGGTTTCTCTGTGTGCAAATCTATTGAATTACGCTTTGCGCTTTCGAATCGGATCTTATGTTTATCAGGGTTTTAGGATGGTTTAGGGTTTGAAACCCTTTTAAGTATTGCTTCTTATGCAATCTCAAGACCCAGATCTCCGATCTGTTAATTCATCATCTCAATTCGTGGTGATTCATGTGAAATTCAGAGTCTCATGGTTCTCATTTCCAATCTAACAGATCGCTAAGTTTCATCGATTTCCTTCACGCGCGTGGCGATCACATCATCGTGTTATGCATCCAAAGTAATGGTGTCACATAAAGTCTTAGAATTTGGAGACGATGGCTACAAATTGCCTGCAAAGGCACGAGCTTCAAGATCAGTCCGGGTAACTGGACTTTGCTATTATCGGTTTTTCTTGTATAGAATTGTTAAATGGATGATTCGTTTACATGATCACTCGCTTTTTGGCAGAAAAGACGCATATACGAGAAGAAAATGTCAGGAGAGGAGAAAATGTGCGCCATTGACTTATTGGCCACCGTAGCTGGAAGCTTGCTGCTCGAGAGCAAAGAAAGCTCGGCAAATTCTGGTGAAGATATCTGTGTAGTTGTACAAAACACTGTAAAGAAGGAGATCCCGGCTGAAGAAAACCCTGTGAATCGTAGTAATCACTTGTTGGTAGGTGACAAAGTAGAGAATGAGGTGAAGGGTTTTAGTGATTCTTGTGAAGTTGAAAACTTTACTCAGGAACTTAATCCGGGTGTGAATGGTGACGTGAAGCCTGATGTTGTAGTTAGTATAGGTAGTAACAGTAGTACCGAGTTGGGAGGAGCATGTGGGATCATCGATGGTCCCCATGGCTCTCAAGATGATGTACATTTGTTTAGTAGAGATAATGATGATGATGAAAACTTCTCTGGGTATATTCGCCCTCGTATGAATAGGACTGTTCCTCGTATTGGAGACAGAAGAATCAGGAAGATATTGGCATCTAGACATTGGAAAGGAGGTTCCAGGAACAACAACGCAGGTAAATTTGCTCAAACTAATGTTTTTAGTTTTATCTTTGTTGTTTTTTAATGATTGTGTTTTGATTTTGGTACTTCTGCAGATGCAAAGCCGTGGTATTGCTCTAAGAGGAGTTATTACTTGCAACATCATCAGAGGAATTATCCCATCAAGAAAAGGAAATACTTTGACAGCATTTCCGATTCGAATTCTGATGATTACCATTTGAAAGCAAAGACACATAAAGGTGAAAGGAGAAGCTATCATATTCTCATTCTCTTGTTAGGATGTTGTTAGTCTCTGCTGTTTTTGTGACGCGGCTTCGCAAATTTGATCTGCAGGAAGCAGAACAGTATCTTCCATGAAAAGTCGAAATGCGTCCTTTGTGTCAAGAGACCATCATGGTAATTTTTAATGGAGTATCAATCTGGACCCGTTGTTGGCTATTGTTTCATTGAAAAAGTGTAATATTGTGAACTGTTTTTCTTTAGTGAGGCTGCGGATCAAATCCTTTAGGGTGCCTGAGCTTTTCATAGAAATTCCAGAGACTGCTACTGTTGGCTCCTTGAAGGTGCAATACCTAAACCTAGTTGTGCTGATTTCATTACCTAAACTGCTACTGTTGGCTCTTTGAACTTACCGTTTTTTTTTGTTTTTATGTTGGGATTGTCAGCGGATGGTGATGGAAGCAGTGACCACCATACTCGGTGATGGACTCCGAGTGGGGCTGATGGTTCAAGGGAAGAAAGTCAGAGACGATAGCAAAACCCTTCTCCAGACTGGTATCTCTGAGGAGAACACTCACTTGGACTCTCTTGGTTTCAGCCTTGAGCCCAGCTTAGAAACTACCTCTCAACCTTTGTTATCCAGGTTCTCTCTTCTCTTCACTCTCTGAGATGCCACAGCGAGTCTTTGCGACCTAAAGTCATTGTTTTCTCTCTGTCAGTTACCTCTCAGAGCATGCCTTTGATGATTTGACGTTATGCCCCGGCAATGTATTGGACTCTAATCATAACTCAGCACCATCACCAGCAGATGATTCTAGAGCTTTGGTTCCCATTGCGTCAGCAGCATTGTTGGCACCTCAGGCTCCTAACCGTAAGTTTAAAAGGACTGAGCAGCAGCATGCTGCACATCGCAGAATTCGTCGACCTTTCTCAGTTACTGAAGTAGAAGCACTTGTCCTAGCCGTTGAGAAACTCGGAACCGGAAGGTAGGAAACAAACAAAACAAAGAATTAGCATTCTTCTTTTTGGTGTTGCTTTAAATAAAGAACTGTTTTGTTTGTATGTTTGAAAACTGCAGGTGGAGAGACGTTAAGGTTCGTGCTTTTGAGGATGCAGACCACCGTACCTATGTTGATCTCAAGGTTAGTATTATTAACTGTTAAACTATGATCTTACAGTTTGAAAATATTAGTATCATTGTTGCTGGTATTGAGTCTTTGCTTATATGAAGGATAAATGGAAGACGCTGGTCCACACAGCGAGGATATCGCCACAGCAGAGGAGAGGAGAGCCTGTGCCGCAGGTTCTATTGGACCGTGTTCTCAAGGCACACGCTTACTGGTCACAACACCAAATGTATCAACTCCAGACCGAGCCACCACGCTTTCAGGCAGAGGCTCTAATCTAAAGAGGTCCTTATTTTAAAGAACCTTTGTGCATTATGATAATGATCCATATTGTATGATTCTGACAAAGTTGAATGAAGATCTGGTCTCAGTTCTTCTTGTGTTTTTCTTTTTCTTTCAAGTGTAAAGTTTTTATGATTGAAATAAGGTGTTTTTTTTTTTCTAACAATGTAAGGGATAGTAAATGAGTTGTTGTAAATCTTTTGTGTCATTTTTTTTTTCTCCCTATATGATACTAGATTGTTTAAGTTATTTAACCTATCCCGATGATATCAATAGTTTTATAATACAGTATAACTTTTTTTTGCCTATTAGAATTAAATAAATAAATATTCGTATTTATTATATCTATTCTGTAAATTTGTTTAAAAGAGACCATTTTCAAGATTTGAATATAACTCATCGTCGTTAGTTTCTGATCTTCAAAAGTCAAATAAGGACAAAAGATGAAAGACCATTGGTACAAGACTACAAGTACAAACCATACAAGATTATCTTTCTCCCATTTGTCAACAACTAATTCCAATCTATATGTATAACAGATTTATTTATTTGGTAGGCATGTTTATTCTCATTTAAATCAAATATGTATAGAATTCTAAACCGAACATTATTATCAGTCTGGTATACATCTAAAGATGCTTACTTAGTGCTTATTGCTTTAGTGCACACCGTACAATCTTTATACCATGGTCCACGTACAAAGAAAGTTTTTCCCTTTTTTTTGGAGAAACTTTCAAGGATTTAAGTTGGCCTACCAAAAAAAGATTTTTTTTTTTCGGTGTGTTTGTGCAAAACTCCAAAAAAGAAATATTAAGATAGCTTTTTAGTAAAAGATCCACAATTTAAGTACTTTTAAATGATAACCACACATGACATACAAAAATAATAGTATTCCGAAGAGGAGATGAATGTAGACAGCAAGTCTCCATCTTAATAAACTCCTCTCCCCAGTTATTGTACAATATACTCTAAAATATACATTAACCGTATAGAATATGAACATCTAATGGGATAAATTGGTTATTATAACTATATATATATATAATAATAGGTTCACGTAGTGTTGACAAATTAAATATGTTGACATAGTAAAATTTGTTGGACCAACCGTATATAATATCCAGCTACTAAATTGGTTATTAACTGTATAATTATCTATATATAAGTATGTTAACATAGAACAATTATAAAGGGTGCTCTGAGTAGTTAGATAATCCTGAATTTTGATAGAATGTAATTCTTCCCTCTTGGACTTTGACTGTGCAAGAATTCATAGACACGGATAAGTTTTACTTAACGATATAACACTAAATTACACAGTTAATTCATAACTCATAAAAGACAAGTAGAATTGTTGACAAAATAAAAATAAAATATTAAGTAGGTTAGGTTTGGCATCCACGTTTGCCTCTCTCTCCTTCACCTCAAATCTCTGTCCAATTCCTTAGGTAGAAAATCTTATTAATTATTTGGTCAAATCTTTCGATATTTTATTGTGAACTAACGACACCAAATTATATATCATTTCGTAAAAAGTAGATTCCAACGGCAAACTCTGAGTTCTCTTAATAAAATTAAGATGAACGAAAAATCTCTTTGGTTACTCTTCAATTCCTTTTCCACATCCATAAGTTTCTTTTCACTTATATTCAAATATATAAATAATTCTTTTTTTTTGTAAAATTGGTATATTCAAAGGTTTTCAGATAAAAAACTAATCACCAACGAATTGGATCGGATACACGTTAGTAATTTGCTGATTTAATCGTAGAAAGATAGCTAAATAGAATCAAACCTAGAGCGATAGAACACATACCTATATTACTAGAATTCACAAACTACATACAACTTGGTTAAATAATTCTTATTTTGAAAAAAGAGTTGTTTGGGTATAAACTAATAAGGGGAAAATTAAAAAAGTAGAAAACGGATAAAAAAATTTAGGTGGAAATATTGCATAAAAAATTTAAAGCCCGATTTGCCCCTATGGTATCTGTAGAAAGCGATATTTTCCAAAGATATTGTAACCGACATTGCATTTAATGCTCTGGGGCTTGCAGTAGTTATAAGACGCCGCCGCCTGACACGGAGATTTGCAATATCTTATTATTGCTTGGTCGCTAACAAATTCAGATAATAACGACATTGGGACGCTAACAATTATTTTATATTAGTTAACACCTCTATTTAATGCATACCCGGTAATGTGGATTCAACACAACAACATTCTCTCTGTTTCTTCTTCATTTAATATACAGAATCCATGTTCTGTCCACAATAAGTGCTGCAGAGAAGCAAGATTGAACTGGGGGAACTCAGATATCCAAAAAAAAATCCAGGTAAACTTTCCACATAAAGTTAAATGTTATCCTCGTTTTTTTTGGATTTATGCATAACTTAGTTATATGAGATGTTGAAAAAATTAGCAATTATTGTTGATAAATCAGTTATCTAACATCCGACTTCTCCTCTGCAGGGAAATAATATCGATGACTCTAAAAGTTTTTGTTGTTCGCGGCGTTTGGAAGAAACGCAGCGATGCGAGTTGGTTCACGAACCAGACAAAGTTGGGTTTCACGGATGCGTAGGAATGAATGAAAGCGACTCCTTCCGTTCGATGGTCCAATCAATCAAGACGGAGTTGAAACTTGAGCCAGAAGACGATGTCGAGGTGACTTACACTTGGCCAAAATGGATCTTGGGACCGGAGTGGATGAAGACACCACCAGTCTTTATACTGAACGATGAGGACGCAGCGTTATTTTTGGCTATAAAGGCAGATCTGGACGAGGTGTTTCTGAGAGTTAGGGTTTATCGAACAACCACGGAGACGGATGATAACACGGGAGATCGTTTATTGGATTTAAACACTAACTGTGTTAGCAATATTGTTACAGGGACAATTATTATCCCTTCTGAGGCCCAGTATCGTAGCTCTTCATCCCAAACAGACACTCCGAGGACAGTCCTGCCACCTTTAAGAGGTATGAATTCTTAATATTTTACTCTTATAGGATAAATAAGTACGCATTTGTAACATATTGCTTACAGAAACTTTCTGTTATAAGGTTTTTCAGCAATGGAAAGTACAAGTTTGGCACCTGAAATGAGCTCAACAAGTTTCCTGACTCCTACCGTAATGGGTACGTTTGAAACATTAGGTTGTTCATAAATATCTTCAATAATCAAACTAAAATGTTACGAACCAACACAGCAACTTAGCACGCTACGTTTTTGTCTAACAGCCGGCTACGCAAGCGGAACCAATATTCCTCTCCCTACCGGTACTGCCAAAGATAACACTTCTGCAAAAGGGAAAGGTAATATATTCCTCGTTTTTCCATTGCTGGAATCTGTATGTGAAATTGTACCTGATATATCTCTGAACTCGTGTTGGGTATCTGAAGGTATAATGATAGATGTTACTGAAAACGGGGAAACAGGGGTAAACAACACACCGCTTCCTCGGGATCTGTCGGAGCTGTGGCACTTCTTCCATGGGCCACCAGGTCTATTTGGTCGAGCGGCAGAGGATATTGAAAATGATAGAGTTAGCAAAGTAACTGATGCAGTTGACATCATGGAAATTGATGGCCCCGCTAGAACATCTATACTCCCAACAGCCTGCCGCGAAGCTGGCCTACAGCTTACGTTAGCTGGAGCATACACCGACAATGATAATGATTTCACCGTTGTGCCAACACAAACTAAAATGGCACGTATAGAGTCATTATCCTCTTCAAACTCCATCACGCCTTCATCAAGTAGCCATGATTTTTCGGAAGAAGAGCTTGTGTCAACAGAGGAAATAGATATACGTATGTCCCTCATTGGTAAGGAAGTTATTTTTAACATACTACGATATTTGTACTTAGTTAACCTGTAACAAGTTAAGTTATATGTTGTAACATATATTTCAGGCGAGGATTTGATCGAACGTCTTTACGACGACCCTGTTCCTGATCCTATCTTGCAAACACAAAGTCAGCAGCGTGAAACCGTAATAGGTGCCAATTTGAGTGGCAACAAAGGCAAGGGAATAATGATTGAAAGAGGGATAGAGACCCGTGAAGTTGGAGCATCTTCGAGGACTGCCTATGACAAGTTTCCACCGAACCCTGGTCTGGTTGAAGGAGGGTTGTTATTAGCGTCTAACACGAATGTGTTAACTGCTGCTGTTGAATCGTTATATGCTAACAGGCAACAGTTTAGCTATCCTCCTATTTTCTCGACTGGAAATCCTGTCATACCGCTGCACACACCGGCTATGACAACAGAGCCAAGAGTTGAGCCAGCCTTGCACGAAAGGGACGCGCCACCATACTTTGACGACCCAGTTCGAGGAGGTTAGGCGATATTTAAGTTAACGTTATGTTATAAATATTTTGATGCTTGCTTACTAACGTTATTCCATTTACATGCTAGCTGATGAGTTAGCGAGAGGCTTAGGAGATGTCCACTACGAAGGCGATGACATTTACGTTGGACGAATCTTCAAGACCAAGGATGACTGCAAGTTGAAACTGGCGATACATGCAATTAACCGAAGGTTCCATTTCAAGACTGTTAATTCTTGCCCAGAACACGTTATCGTAGTATGTGTTGGTCCGATGTGTCCCTGGAGAATCTACGCTGTTCAGATGAAAGATAGTTCACGGTTTGAAGTTAGAACCGTCAACGGTCACCACACGTGCAGTGTGGACGCACGTGGTGACTTCCACAGAGTAGCTACTACATAAGTAATCGGTAAAATGGTCCGTGAGCGTTATGGACAAAAGATCAAGGGACAGAGAGCATGTGATCTTCGCCGCCTACTACGACAAGAGTACAGCCTCCATGTCAGCTATTGGAAGGCTTGGAGAGCGCGGGAAATTGCTATTGACGATGCTTTGGGAGGGGCTGCAGCAAGCTTTGCGCTGGTCACGCCTTACTTTGAGAAAATGCTCACAAGGAACCCTAACTCAGTAGTTGCTCTGGAGACTGAGACTTCGCAAACTGGAGTCGTCCGTTTCAAATATCTATTCTATTCTTTGGATGCTTGTGCTCAGGGATATCGTTACATGAGAAAGGTAATTGTGATAGATGCTACACACTTGAGTGGACGGTATGGCGGTTGCCTCATGGCCGCTAGTGCCCAAGATGGTAATTTCCAAGTCTTTCCGATAGGGTTTGGAATCGTCAACATTGAAAATGATGAGTCATGGGAATGGTTCCTGAGGAAGCTAAGCACCATTGTTCTAGACGAGCATGACTTAGTTTTTGTCTCAGACCGCCATCCTTCAATCTATGCTAGTATTCGTAAGGTTAGTAGCTATATTGACCGGTTAGCATCTAAATAATGATAGTTAATATTTAGTAGTGTATATTAATCACTAACCCTTATAGGCTATTTACTGACATGGTTATCGGAAATGGATTTGTAATGTTTCTCCAAGGTGTATCCCATGTCTTCCCACGGTGCGTGCATTGTCCATTTACAAAGGAATGTCGTGACACATTTCAAATCGGACCACCTCAGCCACCTTACCTCTGTAGTTGGGCGAGCTTATCGTTTTAGCGACTTTGAGAAAGCATTTATGGAGATAAAGGCGATTGATGGTAGGTGTGCCGAATATCTAGAGTGAATTGGTTTCGAGCACTGGAAAAGATCACACTTCGTTGGTGAACGATACAATGTGATGACAAGCAACATTTCAGAATCGTTGAACAAAGTGATGACCATGGTGAGGGAATACCCTATAATTTCTATTTTGGAAACCATTAGGACGACACTGGTGTCCTGGTTTGCACTTAGAAGGGAGTCTGCAAACACTGAGACCGACGTGGTAAACCCAAAGATACAAGAGATGCTTATTGAAAGTTTCCACAAGTCCTCAGGATACTTTGTCATGAAAATAGGTAATCAAAACGGTTTAATTGTTACAGCCTAACTGATATAGTTATCATATACTGAAGTGCTAACTATTATTTTATATTCGTAGGAAATGGCCTATATGAGGTGTGGGACGAGGTTGAAACTGCTTTCGCTGTGAATCTTTCGGAACGAACTTGCAGTTGCAGGGAATTTCAGTTGCTACATATACCTTGTTGACATGCCATAGCTGCAGCCATCCGTGAAGGCATCCAGGTAGATAGTTTAGTCGACATACACTACTCCAATGAATACCGAAAGCTGGCATACAAAGGACTTATTATGCCGGTGCCTGATATGGACCACCTCGCACCAAACCCCGATGATGTAGGAGGTGGGAAGCTTGCACCACCATCGGTTCGTCGTCCCCCAGGCCGACCACGGAAACAGAACTCGAGGGGAATTCAAGGTATAATGATGTGTATTTGCTAACAGTTTTACATATAATTTATTAAGATAATTTGGTTAACATTGATAATTTGTGGGGATAACAACTTGAAGCGTGTGTCAAGAAGGAAGTGCACAAGGTGCAGGGGACGTGGGCACAACCGTTCTACCTGCAAAGCTCCATTGCCGGTAAGCCATTTTAACAGAATACTCTATTTCTTCAATGACCTTCTTTGACTGCAAAATCTGAAAACAACATGCGCCTCTTGTTGTACAGGGTGAGTAGACTTGTTGGGTTGAAGGAATAAGTTCTTTTTTGGCGGCAGGATGGTGTGAAAATCCCTTCTTCTTATATGGTGTTTTACATGAAGGGAAATTAGGAACTTTAATGTTTTCTTCAGTGTAGGTAGCCGTGAAATTTTCACTTGTTTTATAGAAACGGCTGCAATGTTTGTCGTCGCTTTTTGGAATGTTTATAGACGGCTACGCATGAACTCGGTTATGTATTCTATAAGTTAATACACCATCCTTTAAACATTATAGTTAACCCGCAATGGTAACCTAAAGTATGTGTTACCGTAACGAACACTCATTATTGTTAACTTATTAAATATCCATTTAAAATTGTAACGTTAGGCCCTATACGTAGTGCTTAGCAATACACACAGAGTTGCAAATATGCCAGTTCACAAGAAAGCTCTAACCTAAATAATGGATATTTAGGTTAATGTTATATAATGGATAATGCTCTAAACCCTAAATAATGTTATACCCAATACCCTAACTAAAATAAAGTTAACCCTAAACCCTAAACCCTAAGTAACCAAAACCCAAAAAAGAACAACACTTCAACCACACCATGAAGTATTAAACCCTAAACCCTAAACCCTAAACCCTAAACAGTAAAACCAGTAAACTAACGTTCAAGTAAACCCTAAACCCTAAACCCTAAACACTACTAACCCTAAACCCCAACCACATGATATAGACCATTCATACTAATTACATATGTTATCTGCTAACCAAAGTAAATAGCGTACATAAGAAGTTGCTATCAATTAAAAGGCATGTTGCACGGTGATGTTTACATGGTAACTGTTATAGTTACATGGTAAAACATTTACAACGTATTTTTAAAATTTTTATTTCAAAAAACAAATCCAAAATTAAACACCAATGGTATAATTTGAAAGCGTGTTTTCAAAATCTAAAACCTCGATACCATATAGTGAACCCAAACCCTACTTACCCCAATCCCAAATCCCCAAGCAGTAATCTAAAACCAATGACTCTATCAATGTCGACAGTTTTCAAAGAAGTTAACTATGTTATATGCTAACGTAATTCCGTCCACCAAAAGTTGTTATTAATCAAAAACATGGTAGTCAATAATGTTTACACGGTAACGGTTATTGTTATATGGTAACAATATTACGACTTATTTTTAATATTTTATTTGAAAAAAGTAACCACCTTTATTTCTATAATACTGGATACTATATAGTGAACCATGACCCTGCTTAAACCAACCCAAACACCAAACAGTAAACACCAAACCTTTGCTACATGGTTATACAGTTTAACACTTAATTTCTGTTGTTAACCATAAATGTTATCGACTACATTAATGTCGACGAGTTCCCTACATCGCTGGACCCTGTTTTAGTATCATTCAGTATACAGTATACAATGGTTTCCAAATAGTAAGACTTGGATAATGTATAGTGAACCCTTACCTTACCTAGAGCAACCCAAACCCAACAAATCAGTAATCTTAAATCTATGAGCTTCAACCAAAAAAGAAATCACATCAAATGTTAATCGTTAACATTTGCGTTCAACATTAAATGACATATACCTTATCAAGTAATTGAACTTTATTATCTGCTAACGTAATTAAGTAGTGTCAATAAAAAGATGTTATCAACCCAAAATCATGTTACACACAAATGTTTACACGGTAATTATGGTTGTTACATGGTAACAGTATAACGAATGTAAACATCTAAAAAAAAAAAATCCATTCCTAGAAATTGAACGCAATGGTTAGAAATACTATGACCTCTATACTGTCTACTGAACCCTTACCCAACCTAGAGCAAGTTAGAAATACTATGACCTCTATACTGTCTACTGAACCTTACCCAACCTAGAGCAATCCATATCCCACAAAACAATAATCTTAATTCTATGATCAGCAACCAAAAAAGAAGTCCCATCAAAAGTTATGTGTTAACGACTGCGGTCAACGTTAACTATGTTAGTCTGCAATCTAAACAACTTATTTTACATTCAACCAGGTGTTGCTACATTGTATAAACGTTAACAATAATTTTTAATTGTTAACAATTACTATTAACGGCTAGCACAATGTACGAGGTCCCTACACTCTTGGACCATGTGATCGTATTTTTAGTTTACAGTTTAACTGTTTTTGTTAGATGGTAGCTCGTTTAGTACATAATTAATAATTAAAAACAATAAGTAATAACGACAACAACTTTGTTAAATACGTCATTACGACATCGAGTAATCTAATAAAGAAATATAAAATACAAAATGGCGACGATGTAAATGATAACACCGTATTTTGACCAATTTTATGGATCGTTTTGAATACTTTTTCTATGTTTTTAATTGCTTTTAAGTATTTTTATTATGTTTTTTCTAGTATTTGTAGTTCCAAGACTCTTTTCAGGTAACTTAGGGAAAAGCTTAACAAAATGGATAGAAAATCAGATTTCAGCTCAGAGTCAAACCGTCAGAAGTTCACCCCTGATTGAAGGCCTTCTCACCGTCTGATCCAGCTCAAATTTGGAGACCTTAAAGATGGAAGTATCAGCTTTCCAGTGCACTTTACAGCTTGGCAATCCAACGGTTCAATCAAAAGATACGCGAAGAGCAAGATGTCCCGTAAATCAGCTGGCAAGCACTTCCACCCGCGGCCAACAAGCATTTTCCCGCGGTCAGGAGCATCCCGACCGCGGAAAACCACTCATTCCCCGCGGTCAGAGCACTCCCGACCGCGGCCTTCAACCTCCGAGCCCAATAGCCCATTTCTGAAGCCCACAATAATTCTCTCATTTGGAGAAACCCTAAGTGACGTCCAGAGAGGTTTTGAGCACTACAAATACATATCTTAGGAACCCTAATCGAAAGAGATGCTATCTTTCTTATTGTTTTAGAATACTTTTTTGCTTTAGATTTTAGGGAGAGAGTGATTTGTTTTCTTGAACCCTTGTTCTTTCTTTTTCAATTTCGATTTCTATTCTACTTCTTAATACTATGTCTTTGATTTCGTTTATTATGTCTGAGTAGTTTTATTGTTGGGATTAAGGGATTTTCGATGGGGATTTATATGTTCGATGAGGATTCCATGAGCTTTTAAGCCGAATCTTAGAACTTTTTCTTCTGAATTCGTTTTTACTACATGAGAGTAGCGTCATGAACTACAATCTGATCCAGATGCTTGGTGACTTGTTCATCAGGTATCAGATCTAGTTTGGGAGAGCAAAACAAACATAGGAGTGGAAACCTACCTATGGGCGATTTGTGAATTAGGACGAGTCTTAAACATAATGCATCTCTTCTCTTCCATGGCCAGAGTGGAAACCTACTGGTCAGGGTTGAGAGAGATAGTTGTCTATGATCACGACAGTGGCGTATTCATACGTCCGTGACTCCAGTTCGAAAAGTTTAAGCTAAGATCTTACAAAATTTCCTCTCTAGCAATGTTTTGAATCGTTCGTACCCCTGAGAAAACTTCCCTGAACCCCAACGCTTTTTTCTCCATTGATTTACACCGATTTTCTTTAAAGCTTTAGTTCAATATTGTCTTTCCTTTTTAATTCATTTTCATTTAAGCATTAGAATATCCGTTTTTAGCATTTTTAGTCATTTTCGTTAAGTTTAGTTATTACGCAATTTAATTCCCGTATTTTCTTTTAAGATTTCGTTTTTACATTTTAAAGACACCACCAAACCCCCACTAAACCGTTTTTGTTCTAGACTTCCTTACTTTAACTTATTTCAAAGGCTTTTTGCAGCAAAAGATCCTCCTTCCCTGTGGATTCGATCCCTAAGTACTACAATTGATCAGTTGTGCACTTGCGGCTATTGATTTCAATTAGGGTAAAACTTGACAACCCTCGACACATCACGACAGCACAACCTCAGTAAAAAGGCATAGCAATATGTAAATAGCATTATCTTAGCGTATCCTCTATCATCTAACAAGTTAACACAAACAAACGATTACAATCGTAGATAGCCACATTCCACTCAGCAGAGATAAAGGTATGAACCAACCGTAGCAACCTTCTTTGCCTCAAGGTCGATGTGAGTTAGATCAAAATCAGTAGACCCCTCCATGCCAAAAATGGCATGGGATAACATAAGGAAGTACGCGACCAAACCTGCATCGTGCGTTGAATTGACCTGTGGGACATCAGCCACCCTTGCAATCTCATACTGAGTACTGGCCACTTGGCTCATCTCATCGTTAGCCGCAACTTGCCTAAACAAATAAGGCAACATCTCCGCAATGGGTCTGATTTCTGTTTTCATGCTAGCATCCGTTCGAAGATTCGCGTTACAGTTGATAATTTGAATCTTGCGAGATGAGAGATCAACCGCAAGGAAAACCCAATGCTTAATATCCAGATTGAACGGCAGATACAGAACATCAGCATCGGTGAATAGCTAAACGCGGTCCACTTCACCACGGCCTTCTATTTTGTCGATGACAGCTTTCGAAAACTTGAAATCAGCCCGGTTATCCGTCCTGCTAAATTTAGGGTATAACTTAGTTAGCATGGATACAAATTTTGTATCCAGTACATCCAACCTAGGTTTCCGACTGTCGTCTCGGAGCAGGTGTCTCCCCAACATGCAGAGTGAATCCATAACCTGTTGTAAAACAAACATTGAGACGAAATCCATAGGCCAATCTAAACTGTAAATTGTTTAGCGTACATACCTTCGCAGGCATGGATTTCTGTCTTCCGACCATTTCACTAATATCCTTCGATGTTAGCATGGTACCGTCCACACAGGTCAAAGGCCTAAATATGATTGATAACAGAAATGAAAACTCCGCTTGCAAACTCACATAGACAACACTAAAGTTATAGTCAGAACACCAACGAACCTTTTGAAGGCTTTCATTGCCTTCTCGAATCGTTGCAATACCGCGTTCTCTGTGTCGCCAACAGCAGGCGTTTGACCGATCATTGTTCTAATTCATTTCTCATACGTAAATGGACTGTCAATTCGGCTAGAAACCGTCCTCACACGCTTACTCACCCTCCTCTGAACTTGCCCAACGTCTGCTTGTTGCTCCGGATTTTCAACATTGTTAACGGGGTCATCAACCATTCCCAGAATAGAAGAACGTTCAGTACGCACCTCCCCAACCTGCGGTAGTAAATAAGGTTAGTAACTTGAAAAGAAAACGTTGAAAGCGACAGCCACAATTACGTACGAGGACGAATTCTAAAACGTGCAAGTCCAGTTATTAACAGGCAATGCTTATGTTGCTAACCGCTAACAATATGATGTTTGCGGATAACCGCGTTTAAGCGTAAACTACAGAATTATCTGTAATGTTAATTTTCATTGAGTACAAACAAAAGGTATACTAGATATAAGAAAACGTATACCAACATCAACGTCATCGGACTCTGCAATGTTAGAATCATTTCCCCCCTCAGGATGAGAATCTGCAAGCCCTTGCTGCAACATAAAATTAGGTTTTCACGTTATAGTTACTAACCGTAATATTATGTTATAGTACGAAAGCATCGCCTAACGTTATAGTCACTAACCTTCTCAACGAAGTTGTTCTCTGCTACAGAGTTCAGTTCACTAATTTCTTGTGAGTTTGGTGGAAGGGATGACTCTTCCGTCTCCTGTGGGGTTGAAAAAATAATAAAACAAACAACAGCCATATTACAATGTAACAGTAAAGATATAACGATTAATATCTCTAATCTACTGCTAAACCCAAAATCTTAACATGTAAACAACACTATTAACATCTACCATATCGCAAACCAAGGAATGCATGCGTGGAGCGTGTTCTACCCACATCCTAGTTGCAATCTATTCAAATATCCTATCTTTATCAGACTGTGTTATTAAAACCTACCTTATCAGCCGGGTTCACTCCAGGGTTCCCTCCAGACGGTGACTTCTGAACGACTTCGGGTTGGGTGGTTTGTGAACAAGAGTACACTTCAATATCCTATTTACGGCAATCACTCAAAAATGTCAGTCTAGTACACTCTGATAACATAATTATATAGTCACTATTCGAAATAAAGTTAGCCTATTGACTACAAAATTAACTTCTAACATCAACATTAAGGCCTCTATCCAAACAAATGCTGGATAATGACAAGACCAAGTACCTGGTCGTGCAAGTTTACTGGAGCGGGGGTCTTTTCGAGTTCGTTGGGTTGGATGGACGGGCGACTTACTAGGTCCTACCAACAGAATTAAACAATAAATGTTAGTCAAATAACCCCATTAATATACAAAGATACGACACCCATACCTTTTCCTGCGTCATGGGTGGAGAAATATTTACACCATCTTCCAATGGAATTTGTGATCTGAGTGCACCATCTGCTGCATCTTGGCCACCCATCTCGCTCAGGTCGTCCACTCGCACCACACTTTCCACACCTTCCACAGTTTGACGATTTCCTGGGATGCAGTCGTTGGCAGTTTGTGATGCATAAAGAGACAAAATCTCATCAACTGTTGGAATATTGTCGGGATCTGGTATGGGGTGTGGAGTAGATCGATCTAAGGCTGCCTGTGGATCGTGTTGGCTGTGGGATGGAGCGGCTGGCGGGGCCTGTGGCGGTGAAGTCAACCGGTTAAAACTAGGAGCATCATGTTGGGGGCGGCTCCTTGTCCTACTGGCGCTAAACCCCGACAATGAAGGACCAGCATTCACTTCTCTGTCGATAACTGCGTTATCAAGAAACCATTGCGTAACTCCGTTAACAATGTTGCGATTGTTAGCCTTTAACAGTTTCTCAATCTTCTTGTTGTTGTCCTCAATAAGTTTCTGAACCAACACCCTCATTGTCTCCTCTGTAAGTGTAGCTCCTTTAGCGGCGTCGGTAGCTACTGATGAGGAGTTCCGACGTTTACTAGACTTTTTCATCTTCCCCTTTCCTTTCTTAACAACGGCTACCTTAGTCTTCACACCACCCCTGCATGAACTTGTTCGCACAGCTAACTCTTCAGGCTTCAGTCCAGGTCCAAACATCTTAGACTTGAACTCAAATCCTTGGTTGATTAAAATAACCATATGGTCAACCCTTTCGTCCGCTTCATCTTCACTCCAAGAGAGATCTTCATTGTTAAATTCGATATCCGGTCGGATGATGGATTGAACGTCAACCTAAATACAATAACACGGAGTTAGAACTCGGAACATAAATAAGCAGGCATGTTCCTAGTTAGCAGTTAGCTAATTTACCACCTATACTATGGTTAGTGACTAGCTTTTAAGTAGACTATGTTGTCGGCAATTAGGCGGGATCGAGTTAACTGCTAATGATAGAATATGTTAGCAGCAATTACCCTTAATCGACTTAATGGTTATCCTACCAATATAACATCTAAACCCCCAATAATATTTATTAACAGCTAAGTATAGACTATGGTACATGCAATTACCCTCAATCCATTTAGCGGTTAACATAACAATATAACATCTAATACTTCAAACACTATTTACCGTTTCAAATGTTATCTTCTATATATTTAGTTAAATGCTAAACAGTACACCAATCATACCTTCTCTTCCTCATCCAGCACTCTCGCTTTGTTGAGCTGAAGCTGAACTTTTTGTAGCCGACTGCGAGCACCAGTCCTCCTTGGACTGCTATCCTCGTCTTCAGAAGATTCATCGTCATCTTGGATAGATGGAACAGCCTCCAGTACAACCATTTGCAAGGCTGGAAAGAGTCCGCCAACAGTAATGCTAGCGGTTAAAATCTGGGAAATATTCCGACCCTTTATGGAATTCATCATCACATCGAAAGATAATCTCCCCCAAGGATATTGCAGGAATGAATCAAGGTCTTCGACCATCTCAGCATGGTCCATGCTGACCTTAGACCGACTAAAATGTACTCAAGAGACTAGAAAAGCATCCATGATTGCAAGACAAGCGTAACGAAGTCTCAACCGCGTATCTAGCTCTGTTCTCCTCTGCAAAATCTCAATGGGCCGTTCGACTGGGACCTCCTTCTCATCACCAAACCGGGTCTTGAAGTACCCTGGGACCACATGAGGCCGTCTTTTTTTCTTCTGAGAAATTGGATATTTACCGCAATTCAGCCCTGACACTATTTTAAACTCCCGGATTGAAAAACGGATTGGTTTGCCGGCAAAGACCAACCAGATCTCGTTCTCCTTCTTTACATATAGCAATCTAGTCAACGTAAACAACCCAAAGGCACCAGACCATGCAGGCTGATTTGCAAATTCAAACAATTTCCCGAACTGAGATGCCTTCATAAACTCACGCTCTGAAGAATTCAAAACGGCGTCAATGTCGGAGATGACAGTCATCTTCTGGTAAATGTTCAGGTGGTCGCCCATTGGAACTTCTTCGGGGCTGAAGTATCTTTGAGGAAGATCAAAATCAGCAACCTATACAGAGAACCAGATCTGTAAACTTTAGTATATTGCATGTTTAACGCACTCTATTTACACAGCAAGATCTCTAAACTTAAACGACAATCCGAGAAGATTATATCCAACCCGAACAATTGAACTTTATAGTTATATCCAAACAACTAATTTACCTCGTCGGACATGGACTCAGATTGAATATCATCGCCGTTACTTTGGTCGGAAGTGTCCATAATGGTTGTACGGTAGTTTCACGCTTGGGAAAAGCGGTTTATGTTGGAACCCTAGATGAATTGGACCCTTTCGTTTCCCCACCAGTTGATAAGGACAAAACCACTTTTTTTTCTCCCAATCTTTTCCTCGATACACCTAAAACGGGCAATAATGATTTCGTCAGGAAGTGGTGGCTCACATATACAGGATATCGTATTTTACATGTTAAAGCGGATTTCACAGGTGCTAGGATCTCAGGCTTTAGTAGGGGTAATGTTGACATTTGTTTTTCAACAGTTGCTTTCTCACTGACTACTTTCTGACAAACTAATTTACGGTTATCTATTTTTAGATACTAATATTACTCTTGAAAAAATATCATCTATAAAAATTAATGCAAATCTATAGTTGACATTATGTCATTATATTCAACTTACTAACTTAGTATTTATCATTTCCTATATAAAAAAATCCCTAATTGTTAAAATGATTTAAAATACACTGGAATCATGTGGAAAAATGATAAAAAGAAAAAAATGTAAAAAAATTCTGAAAAATAAAAATCAGGACCAAAATACGTAGAATGATATATCGGTTAAGGTAGAAATGGCAATCCGACTTGACAACAAAAAAACTCTGGAGTCTCAAAAGTAATAAAACGATATAAAAAAATAATATCCAGATGCTCAAAAAAATTTAATAAAAATTAGGTGCCTCAAACTGTTGCTTTACTAGCTTCAAAGCCAGCCCTAAATAAATCATAATACTTATTTTAACAATCTCTGATGTAAAGATTAAGTGATAAAATGATAGACATACTTACACTACAAGAAAACATCTGTTTAACAACGACCATAATCATCGCTAAATCGTTGTTAAACAGGATTTCCAATGATTTTACGATGAATCCAAATTCGTCGTGAATCGATCGTCGTAAAAGTTAATTCGTCGTAAAATCGTCGTTAAGTTTACGAGAAACCAAAAATCGTCGTAAAAACGTCGGGAAACATGCGTCGTAAGTTCGATGTAAACTTATCGACGATTTTATGACAAAATTAAATTTGTCGTTATTTTGTATGTTGTCACTAATTCGTCGTAAAATTTTCGTTGGTTATTCGATGTAATTTACAACGATTTAAGGATAAAAATTTATAATAAATATATTATTGAAATAATGCAAATTGCATAATTAAAAATAAATTTGAAAATAAATATGAAAAATAAAATTATTTTAATTAAAAACGAAAAACAAAATATTTTTATTACAACAAAAATAAATCATATTCTAAGTATCGTAACAAATTTCGAAATCTCCAAATTCATCCGCAAGATTGGTAACCGGAGCTTGCAATTGATCTCTTGCCTCTTCACCATTTGTGGATGCTCTTTGAGTACCCGCTCCTTGTGTCACCGCTCTCCGTGCTGCCATTCTTGCCTCCTTTTCCGCTGCACGCTTTTGACGTTTTGCTTGCAAAGCATTTACAACATCTGAGATTGAGAGGACAATGATATCAAAGATATAGTCATACTCTGAAATCTCCTCCTGAACATCCTGGTGATATGCGGTTTGAGACTCTTCTAAAGTCGCAATCTTGGTCCGTAGAACGACTGGATCATCTTCTGGTCTTCGGCGGAGTGGAGCGGATAACGAAGCGGTCGAGACTTTCCCCTTCTTTTTCGGAGCGACCTACATTTTAAATTAAATTTTATTATAAATTAAAAATATAGAAAATCAAATGAATATTAATTTTATTTATTAAATATATAATTCCTCGAAGATTTGATCGATCTCACGAGTAGTCAACCCTCCAAATTGAACTGAAGAACCTCCAGAAGATAGCTGGGTCTCTCGCTCATAAATCTTTGAAGTAACTTCATTAAAGATCTCCTCGACTCTCTCAGAAAAAAAGACACCACTCTTTTTCCGATGACACTTCTCGAAAACCTGTGTCATCGGAGTGAGTTCGCCTCCATTCTCGGCAGCCTACAAAAAAAATTATTAAAATACTTTTTGAGAAACCATATATTAATTATATGAAAAATATATAAATAAATTTTTCATACCATCTGAATTCGAACACCCCCATATGGTGTTTGACCAGCTGTATGAGAAAAAGCCACCGTCTGGACCAACCACATTGCGAGAATTGGAATACTTCTCTGCAATCTCTTGTGTGCGCGGAATCTGTCAGTATCGCACCAAACCCTTCCATACCTCAGGGTCCATGCTAATAGGCTTTGCGTCATCGCCAATGACTTTCCACGCTTTCTTCCAATAAGAAACGGTGCCCATAAGTCGAAGGTTGTAAAGCGTTAAGATTACAGGCCATAACGAATATTGTCTGCCTGACATACCAAATAGACTAAATCCATCTGTGCATAGACCAAGGTATACATTTCGTTTCTCTCTGGCAAAATCTGGATGTACTGACTTAAAGTGTTTCCACGCTTTAGCATCTGACGGATGAGTAATCTTTCCATCTGTCTGTAAATGATCTGCATGACATCTCATCGCTGCCGCTGTCCTTTCAGAATGATACATTCTTTTCAACCTATCAGTTATAGGAAGGTACCACATACACTGGAATGGTACTTTGCTGCGACTACTTCCCTGCGGCTTATATCTTGGCTTCTGACAAAATTGACATTCCTGCAACTTATCATCATCTTTCCAAAATAGCATGCAATTGTCAACACATGCATCTATCATCTCAGAAGGCAACCCTAGACTACAAATAAGTTTCTGGATCTCATAGTAAGTTCCAGCTGCTAAATTATCCACCGGCAAATACTCTTTAATCAGGTCAGCCCAATCATCCATGCAAGTCTCAGCTTAGTTATGATCAGTTTTAATAGTCATCATCCTAGCTTCCAGCGATAATTCAGATTGCCCTTCTTTAAATCCATTGTAAAGTGGCTGATTAGCAGCACCTAGCATATCATAATTTTTTTTTGCATCTACATTGGGTTCTTCATCATGGACAGGTGCAAATGTATTTGTGGTTTCGTGAAATGCATCTGTAACCATGTCTTGAATCCTACCTTTTCTGCTCTACATGGTAATATTCTTGATGCAAATTGTTTGACGACTCTTCAAAACTTGATGCTTGATAATTGCTATTACTACTATATGCACTTTCTCCATGAACCTTCTCCATGATGCTACCATATAAAGTAATGTGGCATAAATCCTCTATGTAATATATGCGACCACACTTTCGCGATAGTGATAAATTTTCTATTCATGCATTTAGGACAAAGACAATACATCATACGACTGGTAATCGTCTTTCAAAGTTTTCTAGCCTCATGCATGAATCCCTCTACCCCCTCACTGAATTATTTTGTCAGCGATCCCGTTGAATCAATACGATTGTACATCTATTTCCGATTTCGTATATGGACAATATTTCGTATATTTAATATTCACTATCAAAAGTGAATATTTGTTCCCAGTTAAGTGATCAATTCAATCACTTTAATTATTTGGGAGCATTGTGATTTTTGGGGTTATGAGGGTGGCACTATATATAGATTTTTATTTAGCATACCATCAAATTAACACCGTTATTTAACAACAAATTAACAATGAAAATGTGTTTACCGACGAATTAACGACGAAAAAAAAAATCTGGTATACCACAAAACTAAACGTGTTTGACCTAACTAATATTTTGTCGTAAAATCATCGTTAATTTGCGAAGAAATATATTCATCGTTAAATCGTCTCTAAATTACAACGACTTAACGTTGATTTTGAAAATCGTCGCCAAATCTTCGTTAATTTACGACGCTTGCATTTTACCGCAAATTAACGGCGATTTTACAACGATATAGAAATATATACGTTAAATCATCGTTAATTCGAAGGGACTTTACAGCGTTTTAAATCGTCGTAAAAATTCGTTGTTAAAGTAGTGATTGCTTGTAGTGTTATACTAATACACGAACCACACGTTTGAGTTATGACTATGACAATGTATACGGTATACCCTTGCAAAGTCAGTTACCCACACATACACGCACCACACAAGCTAAACCATGCCCTCAAGTTATGTTTCAAGTATAGCCTCTCATCTGGATTATTATCATATAAATATATATTACTTTTGTGTTAAATTATAAATATTTTATTGAAGATAAAGTTAATTAGGTATTCCAAAATGCATTAACAAATTGTTCAACCTAAAGTATTGGTTCCATGGTAAAAAAAATAAAAAAATAGAAGCAAAATTAATCAATACTAGAATCGATGTCATAACTAAGAAATCATTGACGTCAATCCAGTAACGATAAAGAACTTAAAAACTCGAATAAAAAAATAAAGCCTAGAAATAATTGGAGAAAAGCAAGAAAAAGAGCTGAAGAAGCGTCAACAATACAAGCTAAAGCGGTTTCATCTTTTTATATATGTTTTACACTATAAAATAAATTTTACTTACATCTGGATTATTATCATTATAAGTTAAAATTTACATACTTACATCTGGATTATTATCATATAACTAGATCTAAAAAATAAACGACAATTGAAATCAATTGATTTAATATGTTTCCTTCTGGAATGGTTTGTAGTTTTGTACTCTAGATTTATAATCCACGCATACGCAAAATTTCATTTTTAAATAGTTAATTCATTATATTTGTTTTTTTATTGTTCTTAATTTATTAGATTCATTTTCTATCTTCATATTATCATAGTTTGTTATTTTCATTTTTGGTCTTCTTTTTCATCTTCAACATTTTTGTTCTCGTATTTTCTGAAATTTCTCTTCATCAGTTTTGTGTC